CAAGATCGTTCACTGTCTATAGCCGGGTACCCATTTCCACCTGGGTGAAGTGAGGAAAATTCGTGCAAAGCGCCTTTCCCAAGGACACAACGTCGAGCCCCTGACAGGATTCGAACCCTCGACCTTACGGTTGCGAGTCCGAGAGTCGTGTGTCGGACCGTGTTCGTACATTTATTGTGTGACGTTGGTGAAAATAGGTCAGCTTTTTAAAATTATATTTCAGGTGTATGTTGTTAATCTACTATTAATGTTAACCCTCTTCAGGCCAACACAAAGAAGTTATAAATACTTGGCTGACATCAAAGACGACCATTCGGAACATTAGTTTGCAATAATAGCCTTCTTCATTAACAATTTCTAGATTATGTTGGTCATCTAACTTTCAGACACTCATGCAAAGACCTGAGAAGATTAAACAGAACGATTGGTATTTGTGGTCATCCCATTTTAACCTCAGAGAGAAGAAAGTGAATAAGCTATAGACAAAATGTGAGGCAGCGTGGTGGAATCGGGCTCTCGTCAATTTTTGGGCATATTGAGGTGTTGGTATCATCTGAAAGCTTGTTCATTTGTCTTGCTTTCAATGAAAAAATAACCCATCCATCGTCAATAGAAGTGGAGATATTTTGGATTGAAGGAGGTGGGGGTCACTTGGTTCAAGAGGTAAAATTAGAGAAAAAATGGCCACCAAAGCTTGGTAAATTCCAAAGCTGGAGAGTCCATGGAAACTGTAAATTTATATTTTTGTGCCTTTCGGTGAAATCCTCATAGGAATTTGTTTGTAAATGGACATAAAAGGTGTTGAGCCGAAAAACAAAAATTTGGTAAAAATTGTAAAGCAGGGAGAAAACTGCTGCTTCCTTCGATTTCATTATTTTGACGAGAGCCTGATTCCACCACGCTGCCTCACAAATACTTTCCAAAACCAAGTTCAGAAGCTTGACAGTTTAGCGTTAAACTGTTTTCCTTTGGCGCCAAAGTACATAAGCCGGTTTCAGATTCGTGCACGGTTAGGCCCAACGTCCGTTGTTTGATTTTAATTTAACGGTTGAACTTTGAAGAGCATACCAACGGATGGGAAAAGTCTGCGGTAACGAGTCTTACAGGTTACACGACACTAATAAATGTTAGGTCTACCAATATTATGTTCCCTACTACAAAACTGATATAATAATATATGTAGATATATCATAATATATGGGCCTAATAATATACTAAATTTAGTGTTTTTATTTGGAGTTTTTTTAAGGGGGGAGAGGGGGTAGTAAGTATTTTACGGCGCTTGCAACTGCCTACGGTCATAATATGAGTGTGCGGGACACATTAAACACTTCAGTTTGGAAGGAAATTTTAAATTTTGCGCGGGTAGCCACCAAGGCCTACTTTTATCGACTTTGGACCGCCAAGCGATCTTTAACGTGTGCAGCTTGCATACGATACCTCAGAGATTTTTCGCCTTTATCCGAGAAGGCTAGGTGTTAGATCTTACCTACCAGGAATAGCAGTAGAAAGGCTGCAGAAAGAGTGAGGAGCCTAGAGGAGGGGGCAAAGTGGGAAGGGGTGGGGGCAGAAAGTGGAGACAATGGCAGACGACAGAACACGGTTAGGGACAGAGAGTAGGAGAGGATGTGAAACTGAAAGGAGAACATTTTAGAGAAGAACATTTTCGTCGCTGTCAGGTTTCGAAATCGGGGCCTATAGAATCAGAAACGAACACCCTGACCTCTAAACCACGAGGGCTCCGCTATATAATATTGTAAGCATTATAACAATATATAGCAAAAGCTACTGTGCGAAGTAGCAGGATCTGAAAATTAGAGTCGAAGCATCCCGCCTCCTTTAAGATGTTCACTGTGGTAATGGGCGTATGGCCCACTTCATTCTAAAACAGTCGATAACCCCCTCCTCTTCCCCCTCCACGCTTTTTCATCCCCCCCCCCCAAACACCCCCCCCCCCTTAAAATAAAAAAACAAAACTTCAACAAAAGAAACGAAACAAAACCAAAAAAACAACAACAAAAAACGATAACAACAGTGTAAATGATATACCGCTGATGTTTCAGTGGACGTCTGCCCACCCATCAACAACACGGCGCTGAAAGATGTCCTGGACCAAAGCCTGTCTGTAGACCAGGACCCGAACTCAAGCCTCCTGTGCGTGGTGCCCCAGTTACAGCTCCAACCACTCACCACCCAGGAGTGTTACCTGGCGCACGAGCAGTGCCAGAGCCTCCAGCCAGATCCGGCGGAAGACCAGAACGACGAGGAGTACTGTCGACAAGTCATCAGTAGCGTCAACTGCTCGGTGGGTCTGGGCTGTCTCTCCAACATAACTCTACGGCTCGTCGAAGTAACCACAACACACTTGTTGGAACAACTCGACGAGCCGTGTGAAGTCGCCGACTTATTCCCAAGCGAGACAGCAGCTGAGACGGATCAATGCAACGCTGAGAAAACAACGTGTGAAAATGCGTATGTGGACGCCATTTTGGATCACAATCTAGAAGTGTCCGAGTCAGAGCGAGGCGGAGATCTATGCGGGGACCTGAGCGAGCTGGTGTTGTGCATGAGGCCGATCAGACACTGTCACCGCGAGGTGGCGCTAGTGCACAGCATTTTCGAAGAGGAGCAAGTCAGGATAGGAATAAAGTGCAATATAACGGGAGGTAACGGAACACAGAGGCGCACTGGGAGCCCTCTCCTTTTAATTCTTTCGGTTTTTTTTGCCTCTCTTCTTTGCGGTTCTGTTATGCTGACCAACATTCTGATTATATAAAACATGGAATATTCCTGAGGGGGTTTCTTGACTCTGGTTTTTTGCTTCGACACTTGTTTTCTCAACTAACAAGACGAACCAGATTTTTTAAAAACACTTTGCAGTGACACAGCCAGCAGTACAAAATACCCCATCTGGTCACTCTGCCAGGAGAGTGACTGCAATGAACTTCCTCGGTCTGGCCTGGCCCACCAGGTGACCGGAACGGATTCTTCTTCTTCTTCTTCTTCTTCTTCTTCTTCTTCTTTTTCTTCTTCTTCTTTTTCTTCTTCTTCTTCTTCTATCCCTTGGTTGAGGCAACCGTTGGGGCATCACTGCATCTGAAAACCAGCTCTCGCCTTTTATCTTTTTCCTCTGCTTTCCTCAGATTGTCACCCATCGTCTTTCCTGTCCACTCTGTAATGTTGTCCTCCCATCTCCTTCTCTGCCTTCCTCTCTGTCTCTTTCCTTGTACGGTTCCAAGTAGGATTGTTTTGGCAAGTCCTGTGGATCTTGTGACATGCCCATACCATTTTAATTTTCGTCTCTTCACAGTGGTCAGTAGATCTTCATGCAGCCCCACTGCGTTGGTGATTGTGTTTCGTACCTCAGCATTTGAAACGTGGTCTTTGTACGAGATGTCAAGGAGTCTGCGGTAACATCTCATCTCTGTGGTCTGAATCCTTTTCTCTAATTCTGCCGTCAGCGTCCACGACTCGCAGGCGCATAAAAATATTGAGATTACCAGTGAGCGCATCAGTCTGAATTTTGAGTTGGGCGTGATGTTTCTGTCCCTCCAAATAGGCTTCAGTTTTGACAGCGCAGCTGTTGTTTGTGCGATTCTGGAGATAATTTTTGGTCTTGAACCTTCATCTGAGACG